TTCCTATTGAATTCAACAGCACAGTAGAGACAAAAATATCTTAGGGATGAGCCTACAGATTCTAATTTGGGAAAATGCCTTGTTTTGTATAACACTGACTCATCCATGTGAAAAACAGTCTTCGGTTCTTTTGAAGGCTTCTCACTCCCCCAGGCACTATAGGATACAGAGGTAAACTGCAGGTGTCCAAACTCCTTTCTTTCTACACCACTACCGAAATTCTGTTGTACATCCCTTTCTTTCCCTTGTTTGCTAGGACTAATCCTCTGCACAGCTAAACCCACTGGACCCAGCAAAACACCTAATAATTCTTCACATATGTATTTTAACAATTTGTATCCTGCTTTTCTCTTTGGAAAGAAACCTAAGGTTAGGGATGTAAATTTAATTTTAAAAAGGAACCATTAAAGAGATATAGTTCAAACATTTACAAGCTCACAATCTAATCCATATACATATTGTCAGCTATTTCTTGTTAATAAAAATTGACATGTTAATGTGCTCCAGTGTCGGTCTTGTGTGCACATGATTACAAGTCAGGGCCATATTGGAAAACACAAATCACATAGGCACAGTCAACCCTGGTCACCCTTTCCTAGTTTTCCAAGCCTTCGAAAATATTTATTTGTTGTTGCCGCTGTCAAGTCACAGCTGACTTATAGCAGGCCCCACAGGGTTTTCAAGGCAAGAGAGGTTCAGAGGTGGTTTGCCATGGCCTGCTTCTGCAATGGGGCCCTGCTACTCCTTGGAGGTCTCCCATCCAAATACAAGCCAGGACCAAGCCTGCTTAGCTTCTCAGATCTGACGAGATCAGGCTAGCCTAGCAATATATAAATAGTAAACAAATCCCTGTGGTCTAATCTTTTAATGTGAACAATATAAAAATACAGAATCTTACGACATCAGAACATCAACATTGGTAAAATCAAATTAAACAGCAACACTAAGCACCTCCAGACAACATTAAAGCCTCAAGACAACAGTTAAAACCAGAGGCTTGACACGTTGACAGGAGAACAGTCTGGCAACCAGCAGTGCTAAACAGAAGCCATGCCAGATAGCTTTCAGAAATATATGCAGGACATTTATCTAAAACCAATACAGCAGCAAGCATAAAAACAATGCTAGAATCCACAAGGCCTTGCCTAGCAACATTTATGGCTGAAGAGATTTCTCCAGGGTTTTGCTGGTCTCTCACTAGGATATTCATCCTGATGCTTGCCTTGCCTAGTTCTCTTGATTTGCTGCCCATGGAGGTACCCTTGATGCTTTTAACTCCATCTTCCCCCTCTTCCTGTCATGTGGCTGTGATGTCACATGGACTTCCTGTAATATCCTTGCAGCTCAGCAGCTTCTGGGTCTAAAAAGGCTGAAGGGCACTGCCCTAGAACATGTCCCAGAATCTACTACAATACATAAAGATGCTATAGCAGATAACCAAAGTTTCCTCAGAGGACAAGCTCATGTAAAAAGAATTGCCAAAAGGTGTACTTGGCAACTTTGCAACACCATGAATCCGCCATGCTCTTGTACTGTTTCAATTACCTCAACAATAAATCTGGAGTGAAATAGATCCAAACAGTAAGTTGGAATAAGACTCATATTTTGTCATTTGGCTGTACTATGTGACATTTTGCCCTCAGACTTCCCAATAGTTAGTGGTTAAGCACAGAGGTGTCTCTGTTTCTTTGTATTATAAAATTGTGTTAAAGTATTGTTGTTACAGTATTTAGTTTTTACAGTTCCCAGAGTACTTCACATATAGTGTTGGCATTTAATATATATGCAAGGTAAGTGTTCTGTTCCCAGAAATGAGATCTAGTGCAAAATTAACCCCTACTCTTGGAGAATTCCCAGTTTCTTAGCCACAACTATTTTGTGCATTTCATTAACGCAAGAGGAACATGAGTAGAAACTGTGTCAGATTTCTCCTGTGGGAAGCATTTGCACAGTTCACGAAGAAAGTATCTAATGTATAATATGAGGTTATTGGTGCCCCCCTTCCCCTCACATTCGGGTAGTACATGAAGATCAAAGATAGTTGCCCCTCCGCTCCTTCATGTGTGGAAAGAGACTTCTGGGAAAAGTAATCTTCCACAAACTGAAGAAGGCTTCCATTAATGAAGACTGCTTATATGAGTAGAAAATTACCTTTGGATCCAAAACAAAATCTTCCTGACACCAAAGCAAAATAGGTTACATAATATATGATGGTTTTATTTCACTGTCTCAAATTGAGCCTAAACCGGGTTAGAGAGGATTCTTTCTTGGGATCTTCTTAGGATCTCTTTCCTTAAAGTTAAGGAGTCTTCCTTTCTATAGACTCTGTTTCCTCAGCTAAATGAACTGGTGAGTGATATGCTGAGTACCTGTTTATCTTCAAGAAGTCATTTGAGTCTTTTTTGTTTTACAAATCCAGTTTACTTTTTTTCTTTTGAGCCATAAATTACTATAATACAAAACCTGCTGGCAGATAGGCTCATAAAGGTTTTTGTAGACTTTAACTTTTCTAGATTTGTAAGACTGTCCAACAGCATGTGATTTAGTTTAGTTTCTATCTAGTCTAAGCCTACAGAGTTCTGTGTAACTCTGAATGCTTACATACTTTTACACCAGTCAGAACCGAACCAATAAAATGGCTCTGAGAATAACATGGTGACAGCTGGCTATACTGCATCACAACCTTTATTTACAACAACTCTTTTAGGTAGGCCACTGCTATTTCCATTATAAAGACATTCAATCTGCTGAGATGCTTAGGGCTAGCTGCAGTTTGTGTTAAGCAGGGATCTGAACACAGATCGATTAAACCCTAATAAATATACTACAGTCTGGATTATAGCAACACTTCCCCCACAACCCAAGGGGTAAGTGGCTTGTGATTAAAATGAAAACATGTCGTAGTGGTAAAATACTTCACTAGCATTCACTGGTTTTGTGACAATCAAGGGCATGGGAATAAAAAGCCACAAGACTGTTTAAAACAAGAATAAATGCACAATTCTAGTACTATTCAGAACCACCTTACTTCTGACTAGACTGGCACTTGTATTTCGTTTTCATTACACATGAGCTGCATTTTATGTAGTGTACAATGCCTAGCTGTTTCAGTTCTTACCATCAATATATTAATGAACCTTAAAATTGCTCCTGGGGATTAAAATATTTTAAGGTGCTGGTAATCAAAAAGTGGGCTGGGACCTACGAACGGTTCTCACAGATGGTACCACCACCATTTTAAAAACAATTTCAGAAGAGAAAGGTGAAAGAATATGGGGTTGGGGTTTTTTTGCATACGTACAACGTGACACCAAATCCAAGAAGGTCGAGCTCCTTTGCTGGTTTTTTTAAACATTAATTTTAGTGAATACCAATCATTAATTCTGAACAAATCTCATGTATATATATTTTCCATTCCCGTCTAGTACCCCCCACCCTCTCTCTTCCTCTTCTTTTGAGCACAGCCCTTCTCATTTCCAATCTTCCATGATGATTAACTGCAAAGAGGAGGAAAATTCAGTTCTAGAGCAGGAGTTGTGGCTAAGGGGCAGAGGACATCCTTTTCAAATGAAGACAGATTTAACTCCCGGCGTGTCCAGCTAAATGATCTCAGGTAATCAGTACTGGTAGTGGTGAAGACCCTTCTGTGCCCAAGACCCTGGAGTTCAGCTGCCCTTCAGGGGAGCACACTGGGCAAGATGCATCAGTAATCTGGTTAGATATAAAGCAGGTTTGGATAACAAGCCATTTTTGACCACCACATTGTCTATATACTTGTCACTATCTCTTATGTCGCCCTTTCCACTGAAAAAGGACCCTTTGGTTTCGGGTTCCACCCAACCCTTGCCATCTGACTCACTGCTTCAGGTCCGAAGAAACTGTTTGCAAAATGGCCCGAATGGACTCTACTGCTCCCTGCCATATTGATACCACAGTACAACATGCGGCTCAGAGTAATGGTGATGGGAGGAATGTAACATGAAGGTAGGATCGAGCCTTAATTCAAGAGCACAAGTTATTATTTTGCTTCTATCTGTACCAAGACACCTGCCTCCTATCTATTGACGTCTACCTTGGTGCAGTGAATCCCTGGACTGGCCATTATGTGAGGAAATGAATAACTTACAGGATTGTTTGTCCTGGTATGTCCCACATATGTGACTCACACAAAACACTGCAGTGACTAAAACAAATTATTATTGTTGTTGTTGCTGTTGTAAGCCACCTTGAACCACAAGGAAAGATGGGATACAAATGTTTTAATAAATAAATAAGTAGCTTAAAAACGTGAATGACACGCATACAAAGCCTCTTAGGCATGAAAAAGTGGCTCTTAAAAGTCTGCATGTTTTTCTAGCTCTTATATTGTAAACCAACCTGGACCTTGAGATGGATTATGACAAACATTTCATGTGGAGTTGTTCATGTGATATGCAAATTACTGAATGACCCAGGGGTAGCCTTCACCAATGGATAACAGGGGCAGCTGCCCTGAGGCCCAAACTGGGGAGGGATCCAACTACCCATAGCTCTCCCCCCAAAACATAGAGGGGAAACCAACAAAAAAAGGATAGGGGCCTGCCACACACATGCGCTCATCCCTTCAGGGGCTTGGGCAGCCAGTGTCTGGCAGTGGCCCCTACTCACCTTTCACAAAGCGAGGAGGGCTGATCTTTGCTTGGCCCCTGCAGGAGAGGGAAGCAGTGTGGGGGGGGCGGTGATTCTGGGGTCTCATCCTGGACTTTTGCCCAGGGCCCCAGAATTGTTAAGACTGCCCCCAGAATTACAAACCAGGAAACCACCTGCTCAACCCTCAGTTTGGGCACGAAAAGCAGCCTTGAGCAAGGCTCTGTCTGTGTATCTTCAATACAGGGATAACAACAGTGGCCTAATTCACCCCATGGAGATTTATGCACATAAAAAAAAATAAAGTGGTGTTATAAAAATACCAGACTGAGTCATCAGAATTTCAAAAGGGAAAGGGGGAAAAACCTACTTACTCGGATGCTATATGAGAGCCCAGACTCCAGACCAGTTTCACCCCCCTTGCGGCCAAGGTCTTTAACCGGTTTGGTCAGCAAAGCAGATTCCTCGGTGCCCAGCAACAGATTTTCCTTCTGGACATTTGGGCTGCCCTTCAGTGGCTTGTCCAGGTTCCCCCGGGGATAAGAAGAGGACAGGCAGGCAGTCAAGTTGATTTCTGGCGAGGTAGGACCACTCGGAACAGTTGCACATTCTGTAAGTTTAATTCTTGGCACCTCCTTAGTCCGTAGACAGAAGTTCTTCAAGCTAGGGAGGGTGGAAGGGTTGGCCAGCTTGAGGTTGCCCATGCGAGGTATCAAGGCGCACAGAGCCACGGGGCTGTCCGGCGTCCCTATGGCAACACTGTCGACGGGCATATTCGGTGTTGGGGAATGAGATGACGGAGAACCTTTAAGATGCAGAGGTCCACTCTGTGCATCTTCCTCGAAGGATGCGAGGGACTCGTTCCTAAAACGACTGTACTTTGCCCTGTGAAGCATTCCTGGGTCTCCAAGCAGTTCTACATTCAGTACATGTCCACTGAGGCTGTGTGGAATGCGTTCTCTCATAGCCTTTGAAGTAAAAAAAAAAAAAAAGACACCAAAAAACCCCAATCCCTCTTTGCCTAAACTGGCTGCCGTCTTAAAAACAACACAAAGTAATATGGAATTAAACAAACCAGAGCGATTTTAAAAACAAAAAAGAGGACAGCAGATTTGGCAGTAGGTGGTGGTGGGGTCCTCGGCTGCTTCCCGAGTGACCTTTTCCTCTTAATGAACCCGGCTTCGTTTTGTCTGGACATCTGGCAGTTTCAAATTCAATCTCAACAAAATGCTTCAGATAGAAACATACACACAAGCAAGGAAAGCAAAGAAAGCTACCAGCTGTTTAACATGGGAAGAGCAGTTCTCCATCACTACCCATGCAAGCAAAGCAACCTTTAAAATTGTCCTCCTCTTTGAACGCTCACTGTCCGGATAATTAATAGTAAAACCTTGACTGCAGTAAACACACAAACATGCACATACACAGGAGGAAAGACACACACTATTTCATACAAAGCAATACAAGAACTGAAATCTCTTCCTAGAACAGCAGTAAGGAGGGTTTTTCCCCCCACTAGCCTTGCACTTAACATTTAAATGTTGAGCAGATCAGCAAGGAAAAAAAGAATCTACATTTTTTTTAAAAAAAACATCTTTAAAAAAAAGAAATGTAGGGGGGAATCACATGCACAAAATAATAATTATCTAGATGAAGTTCAGTTGTTCTCAACAGAAATCTTGCTAATCCTTGAAAGATCCCTGAACACTGTAATATCCCAAAACGCTTCAAGCAGATTTCATGATCCAGCACATACTTCAGAGCTTCATATTCATGATTGCCTTATAGAAACATCTCTTGGAAGCCTTTGAGGCATCTGTAGATATTCTTCACCAGCCAGGTCATGGTAGTTTATTTCTCTTAAAAATGAGAGAGAGGGAGAGAGAGAGAGAAGGTTGCAGTTTTTATCAATGAAGTTTTCTGAATGAATTTCACTGTGTGCAAGCTAAATAAATCTGTGAATGAAGCTTGAGAATGGCTGTAACTGACTGACAGTCCCAGGGGTGTTTAATTTTTAGCCAATCAGGAGGCAGTCTGATGACTCATGCACCATAAATACACTAAACTAGTAGCCGTGTGAAATGTGACTTTTGGTGATGTGGGCAGTTCTTAATGCACTGATAGGTAGTGAATGGGATGCTTCCATCATTACAATATCAATATCTCTCATTCATATCTTTTTTCCCTGTTGAAGGAAAAAAACCCCATTTTTTACACTGCTGTTTCTGCAATGCAGCACCAGGAGGTTTTAAAAAAACCTTTTGCCCCTGACATTTGCTCATATGGTATAAAACCCTAAGGGAAGTGATGATATACCATTCTTTGAAACACAGTTCTGTTTTATTGACTGTTGGTTCAATATCTAATGACACTTCCTGCGCCTATCAAATTTACTCCAAAGACACGATGAAAACTGCAAACGAGTGAGCACACAGGAAATCAGGATCTGAGTAGGCAAGGCAATAAAGTACATTGCATCCTCTGAAAGCTGTCGGCAGCCTTAACCCTTAGGGAGGCGTATAAACCAACATCAAAACGGAGGGGCTGACCCAGAGCTTATTATCAGAATGCTGTGAGTGCTAGGTACCAGTGCAGCAGGGAGAAAACTCAAATCCCAAGCCAAGAAAAGCTGGATTTTATGAGTTAAACTGGTAATCATGCATATGTTTACTTATTTTGCATCATTTTATTCTACATCTGATAGGGAAGGGCATAAAGTATGCCAGGAGTTGAAGCCCCATTTCCTGGCCGCTGGAAAGGCTGCCCAGAGATTTCAGAGATTCCACCAGATATTTCCTGGGTACTTTCAAAGCTGACATCACAATGTTTGGGACTAGAAACATACTTCTTCTTTTTGGGGGGGGGGAAACATATTAAATGCTGAGTTGCCAGTTCTTGTTCGTCCATAGCACAACTGCAGAACCAGAACTGCCCTGTTTATCAGGGGTCGTTTCATAGAAAAAGAGCTAGGGGGACTCATTAGCATAACTTATTAGCATATGCCACACCCCCTAACATCACCGGAAGTGTGTCATAAGGCCACCCACCCCGCCCTCAACGGTCCTGGCCGCCACCGGCGGCCTTGCAGCTCCACTGCCGAGCCCCATGAGGGGCCCGGCGGTGTACCTGCAAGGCCGGCGGGAGTGCAAGGAAGCCCTGCGAAGGCCCTCCCTGGCCCCAGGCAGGCAGGGGTGGGGAGAGGCAGGGAGGAAGCAACTTACCCTCCCTCTTCTCCTGCCTCCTCCTGGCTGAATGAGGGCTGGAGGCGGGGTGGCCGGAAGCAGGGGGCGGGGCTTCGTCATGTGCCCCCCCCCCGTACCTCACCTGGGGGAACTGCGATCCCCCGCGATCCCCCTCGAAATGACCTTTGCTGTTTATTATATGAATGTTTATTCAGAAGTAAGTTCCGCTGAATTCAGTAGGGCTTACTCCCATGTACCTCATATAAAAGGGCAGCCTTAGCGTTTCTTATTCACCTTGGAATGTTGAGCTATGAACCTGGCAAAGTTGCCAACCTCCAGGTAGAGGCTAGAGTTCTCCTGGAATTAGAACTGCTATCCAGACGATACAGATCAGCTCCCCTGGAGAGAATGGCAGTTTTGGAAGGCAGACTCTGTGGCATACACCAGAAGTTTGGGGGCAGTATCTGGGCAGAGTACATTATTTTCTAAAGTATATCTGGATATCCTAAACAGAATTCACTCCCCAGGGCTGAAGCTAGCTGGTGAAGCATCACATTGCATGCAAAGGGTCCCAAAGTTCAACCCCCAGGATCTCCAGCTAAAAGGATCAGGCTGTAGAAGATTTGAAAGACCTCTGCCTGAGGCCCAGGAGAGCCACTGCCAGTTCCAGTAGACAATACTGACCTTGACAGACCACAAGTTTGACTCGCTATAGGCAGCTTCATGGGGCAATGACTGTCCCACTCTAGCTCTCCACGTTGCAAAGAAGAGACAGACCTAAGGAGTCTGAAGCAGTAAGGAATTGTCTTGCAGGATAAGACCAAGGATCCATATAGCCCTGTTCTCTGTTCCCTATAATGAGCAGCTGGGTGAACTTGCGAAGCTCACAGGCCAGATATAATGGAAAGACCCATCTCCTGGTAGTCAAATCTCTATTGTCTCTAAATGTTGGAAATCCCAGTACTAGCCTGCATAGCTAATAGATACTCATTGACTTAGAATCCATTAGGCTTGCCATCCACTGGGGGGACAGGGGGGTTTCCTGCTTTAGGGACCCCTGATCCGCCGGCCAGGATCCCCCAGAGGTGACGTCATCATGCCGGGCACATCGCTTGGGGGGGGGGGACACTTTAGCGCTCAGCCTAAAAACTCTATGGTACCATAGAGTTTCTGTCCAAATGCTAGCGTGTCCCCCTGGCGACATGCCTAGTGTGATGACATCACTTCTGGGTGATGTCATCATGGCACATGTACTCCAGAAGATCCTGGAAAAGAAGCTCCGTTCCCCCTGCTGGCAGCAGGTAGGGACCTGGCAACCCCAGCATCCATGAATTTGGCCAGCCTGTTTAAAAAGCCATCTAAGCCACTCTCACATGACTACAATAATAATCCCTTTGCATTTGCACACTCTGTGCCCTGACCTGAACAGCCCAGGCTAGCCCGATCTCATCAGATCTCAGAAGCTAAGCAGGGTTGAACCTGGCTAGTATTTGGATGGGTGACCTCCAAGAAATACCAGGGTTGTGATGCAAAGCCAGACAATGGCAAACCACCTCTGAAACATCTCTTGCCTTAAAAAAAACAAGTCTAGCTCACCACCTAGGGATGCAGAACGCTAAAAGAGCTAGAACGTCTGGCTGCCAGACAATCTTAGGATCTCCCAGCTATACTACACACACTGCCATACGATAATTATAAATATTATTATTGCATACTGTTGTGTCCAAAGTGCTTCACATACACTGGCCTGTAGAACAGAATAATTTATTCACAATAAAAGCCAGCAATCTAATACAGTAGTCAAACTGAATTTGTCAGAATCCATAAACCACAAGCATATATGAAATGTATAAAATAAAAATATAAAATAGCACATGCAAATAAAACATGTTAAATCCTATAGCAAATTACATCTATTCTCCTTTCACTAGCAGCTTTCTAGCCCTTACAGCTAACCAGCCAAATTTGGCAAGTATAGCTGTAACCTCAGGGTGCCTACTTTCTAAGTGATTCTTCAGTAATTGCATCTTTTTATTAGTTGAGGATAGAGAAGTTGTAGAGAGTGGGAGAACATCACGAAAGTGGCTATATGCCCTGCAGTCATATGTTGTTGTTGTTGTTCAGTCACACAATCGGGTCCAACTCTTTGTGTCACTCCAGGCCCTCCTGTCTTCCACCATCCTCTGGAGTTTGCTCAATTTCATGCTCGTTGCATCGATAACACTGTCTAACCATCTCACCCTTTGCCGTCCCCTTCTTCTGTTACCTTCAATCATTCCTAGCATCAGGGTCTTTCCCCTTCTCATTTGGTGGCCAAAGTATTTGAGCTTCAGCTTCATTATCTGGCCTTCCAGGGTTAGGGTTAGGGTCAGGGTTGATTTCTTTTAGGATTGACTGATTTTATCTCCTTGCAGTCCAAGGGACTCTCAAGAGTCTTCTCCAGCACCATAATTCGAAAGCATCTATTCCTTCAGCGCTCGGTCTTCCTTATGGACCAACTCTCACAGCCATATATTACTACTGGGAATACCATCGCTTTGACCATACAGACTTTTGTTGGCAGGGTGATGTCTCTATTTTATGCTGTCTAGGTTGGCCATAGCTTTCCTCCCAAAGAGCAGTCATATATAACATGCATTAAACATGCATTATAACATGCATTGAAGTTTCAATCCCGTCATTGCAACTGGGACATATACGATGAGCAAGGGTTTTTTTAAATTAAACCTCCCCTCTGTAACCTCTGAACCTCTGTAACCCTCTGTAACCGCTGAAGGGAGTGC